ATTCAGGCAAGGCAATTGCTGGCAGACAGACTGAGGACGCACCGGATTTCACTGATGGCAGACAGCACCTTTCAAGCAGCAAAACGAAAGACTATGCAGGAGAGAAGGGACAACGCCAGGAGAAATGCAATTAGTGTGAAGAAGAGCCTGACCATGATGATCGTTGCAAATGAGCTGACCCCGACAATGGCTCAAGGCGATGACGAAGAGACAGGTTGGGATTTTACATTGCTGGTGTTCGGAACATTGTTATGCATTGGAGTGTTCCAAATCATTTGTTGGTTGAATGCTTGTTGGCGGCAGCGTGCAGCAGCACACAACAACCAGACAACAGAAGCACAAGTGCAAACCGAACATGATGAGCAACAGCCACCAGCACCACAGAGAAGAGAGACCAACGACAGACTTGAGGCAAGAATTGCACAATACAAGCAGTTCATCAAGAGTGGCAATGAAGCCATGGATCGAGTGAGACAGGAAAAGATGATGCTGGAAGAGAGATGCAGTGCGCTTGAAGCAGAAATTCAAGTGAGAGATGAGAGACAAGACAGAACAGATGAAAGATTAGATGAGCAACAACGCATCATAGCACAGCTGGAGCAAGATCTGGCAGAAGTTTCGCAACAGGCAGCATACCTCAGAAACCACCTTGGTGGTTTACCTCAGACAGTGTTCACCACAAGAACCGGCAGGAAATATCATTTGGATCCCCAGTGTTCAGCACTGAACCAGTCGACCGACCTCAAAGATTTCGATTACTGCTCGATGTGTGTGAACCGCATCATACCCTCTCACCGGCGCCCGCATGGTTCGAGTGGAGGAACCTAGTTACATGTCCTGTGCTTTTCAAGCATGCGCTTTAAGAGCTTTTGTATGCTTGGCACACTTCCACCGGTGTGAATTTGTGGCCCACAAATTGGTCACGATCGCCGTGTGATGTCCGCAACTCGGGTTCGAACCTAGGGCCCTTGAGTCACTTCCAATCGACTACGCGAAAAGGGGCTTTACATGTCCGCACTTTCACTTCCGTGTTTTCCCACTGACCTCGAGCGCATTGGGAACCCTACCTTGGTTTGTTGACCTAGGTTTTCACATATAACGAAAAACATCGAAAAAAAAATAAATATAAAAAGAACTCATTCCGTAGGGTGACTTTTGACAGGGGATGTCATTCCGCATCCGATGTTTCAATATCGCTGTCTTCAGGCCTCATAGAGATTGTTTCAAGCACCTTTAAAGGATCGATATTAATATGTTTCGTCCGAGTTCGGATGTCGTGTGATGTTGTGTAATGCAACTCTTGGGGGGCTCCCTGTTCTCTTGGCTCTTGTTTTGTAACTGGTTTCTATGGAAACGCCTGAACACAAAATGGTGGGATAAGCAGCCCATAAATCCATAACATGTGTTGCGGGCTTCTTCCAAAAGTTTCGCTCTGGCTCAATGATGTTCAATGTACTTACAGTAATGTTAACGCCCTTGTTTCTCCTGTCCTCGTCCTCTCTGCACAAAAGCGGGTGCCATGCCGGGACCTCGGCTCTGCGGAAACCCCGCCTTGGTCCGCTTCGTCGAGGTCATCTCCACATCCCCGGAGCTCGGCTTCGTTTCAGCCTCGCCTCGGCCACGAGGCCCCACGAGGCCGGCCGGGAGCGGGAGGCGAAGGACGGCCACGGCCCCGAGAACCAAAGCGTCGCGATCCGCAGCTTTTGGAAGCATTTGCGGGCAACAAGGTCGGTGGTCATATCATATCTATTCATAGTTCTATTCATATCTGGAGACATCATATAATATTCCTTGAATAATGCTTAAAGGTTGAACCCAGGATTTTATTTTATAGAATCCTTTCGGACTGAGGTGACTTCCTGATTTTTTTGTGTGCTGAGGTTGGACATCATTTTTTTGAAGCAAGATTTCGGGTTTATAAAGTCCTTGACCGACCATTTATTAAAATCCTTCTCCCAAGGCCGCTCGGCCTTCTCAAAGTATCGTTACAAGTCTTATTTAAATCCTGGCATTGACCCTGGTGTCTCTACTGAACAAACATCGAATACTCTATTTTTTTCCTTCGAAACTTCCTATCGAACGTTGGAGGCTTCTGGCTGCGCTGTCCGCAAGTCATTGAAGATCTTGGCACGTTTTGTGTGCTAATCAGTCACGTCTGGTGTCAGTGTAAGTTCCATTCAGGAACTGCTGATTCTGATATGCTGATTCTGGTCTGCTGATTCTACTGCGCCCCCCTGAATCATTTCCGACTGTCCACGACATCAGACATGAACCCGATCGACGGAAAAACCCGATCGACGGAAGAGAAATGCAGTATATGCAGAAGAGCACGACATGTACCCCAACTCTATATCGATGTCTATTGGATAGAGGCAAAGAAAACTAAAATCCTGATCTTGACCCACAAGGACCTCCATGTTAAAGATAAACATGTGTTTATAAAATCCTGTGTCTAACCTACCATATGTCCCTTAAGTTCAGTAGTACCGTGACTTAACATGCTTTTCTGAATTTCTGGACCAACGATCAATTTTCAAAGCCTAATCTTATTTTGGTGATTTCTGAAGTCCTGGACGTACGTGATTTTCGGGAAAAACATTTTTATAAATCCCGGGGTTGGGGTCAAGGATTTTAGTATACATTATTCGAGGGACATCATATATCCATGCTCTTTCTATGATATAGATATTTTTATGTGTGTGCCGGTGTTGTGTGTCCACGCCATGCCGAAAGTGACCCAACATGCCGCGCCACACGCAGAATCGACACAACGACCCGCCTTCGAGTTCGGCTCTGACACCCTCGAGCTTCTCTCTGAGGACCTCTTGCATGGCCTCCTTCATCTCTTTTCGTCTGCCCGAGCGGAGTGTCGAGATGCAAAGCGGAGAGATGCAAGTCAGGGCTGCTGGGAGGTCGAATGGACTTGAAGAAAGTCGGGCTAAAAGGAGCTTGATTCTTGTCCAAAAAGGTGGCTTGAACGCCATTGTTGTTAAGAGGAGAAGCTGCCACGTGACCTGGAGCAGTCTGGATGGACTGCTGCATGACTTTGGACCACGGATGACCTGCCTGGCGGATTTGCGATCAGACTTTTTGGATTGCTCTGCTTCATCCTCATGGAGCGCGGGCTTCACACAAGAGCTTGTGGTGGATTTCACTCAGCTCAGGCTTCAAAAAGGGGGGGGCCTTGTAGAGAGGCAACCGAGTAGTATGTTTAAAACATTACAACTATTGACTTATTGAACAATCTAAACTTGTGCAGGGCTCGGGCTCAAATATCTCAAATGAATCAATGACCGGTGAACTACTCGTGGGACCAGCCTGTCCGGGAATGTCCGGGATGCGAAAACTCCCATCTGCCTTTTTTGGCGCATGCCTCAGTCCCTCCACCTCCACAAGCCTCGCCCTCCAGCTCACGTTTCCTGGTTAATGTTGAAGAGGTCTTACACTCCAAATCAGGGGGTTCTCTTAGGGGGCCCTATGAAGAGGTCTTACACGGCATGGGACGGCGGTATCCGATCGGAGCATCCTGAGTGGATGGGTCCGAAGAGTGGACAAATCGTCTTTAAAGGCATTTGACAACTTGAGGTGCACCAACCCGGGGGAATGTTGACATCTAAACCGAGAATGACAGAGAACTGTGCGGACTGTCCTGGATGATCTTCTTGATGTGATTTTCACCTGACCCCGCAAAGCAAGAGACATGCTTGGCAAAAACCGCAGGGCAGGGGCAGAAATTAACCTTATGAGTGCATGACACGTGGTACAAGGCCTTAGTGCCCCAGCAAACACAAAAATATCAAAAACACATGCTAGACTGCTAGACCAGACTCTACAAGATGAACAAAAACTTGAAGCTGGAGCACCTACTTGGCACCGCATATTTCTTGCCCCCGAATCCACTCATGTTTACAACCCCAAAAAAATCAACCACTGCCCCAAAAATCTACGAGTCTGCAGGTCTGGTGAGTTTGGTGCGATCAACGTACGTCCTGGCTCGCACAGATCTTCACGCTGACCCTGCTTGATGTCCAAAAGTGCTCACAGCGGTGGATTGAAGACCCGTAGACTCCGCAAAGTAGGGCTGGGGAAGACCTTCAAATGAACAGACTATAGTGACTAGTGAATAATTAGGATGTGTTTGAATAGTCATGAACAGTCTGGCAGGGGCCCAATTCACATCTCCTATCATCAGGCTTCTCATGGAATTCTTTTGGTGGAGCTGGTGTTTGGCTTGCTCAGGATGCTCAGTGACCTCTGACCTCAGTGCCCTCGATCCCCCCGGACCGCCATCGAGAGACGAGCAAGAAAAGACCCTCCTGCGGGCGGGGCACGTGTCACTCGGACCTTCTTCCGAGCCATGGCACCACAGGCTTAGGATGCTGCGGTGCGGACGATGGCTCGACTCGGATCCGAATCCGAGTAACCAGCCAAACAGCCCCAACGGGCGAGCTGGTTGAGCAACTTGGATGCTGAATCCTCGAAGACTCCAGAACGACGGCCAGACGGCCGCTGCCGAACTGCGGAAAACTACCCAATTGACCCCACCCAAAACCGTGTTCCGTGACAATTTGGTGAGCGCCATGTTTCGGTCATTCCTGCAGCCCGACGTCAGTTCGGGTCGGATGCTCCGCCCGGTCCCGCGCAAGCGCGAGCAACGAATTATGGGGACCCTGTCGGCGAAGAGGCTACATGGTCCACATGGCTTCATACAGAAGACATGAGGTGCATATGGAAACCAGTGGAAAATGTTGGAAACCTGTCCCATTGATTCCAGAAGACTTGATTGGAAACCTTTCCAATCGATTTTGGACACCTTTCCAATTGATTGATGTGCAGAAGACATATGGCCCAGTGATTGCGGGTGATTTTACCGCGTCTTCATCCGTCTTCATCCGTCTTCATCCATCTTCCCAGCCCTCCTCTTCATCCCTCCACCCAAAGGTTGCCCTTACCGGCCCCATCTCGCGCCACGCTGCGCGTTCCTTTCGCGTCGCCGACACCTCGGGCGACTGCACATCGCATTCCTCCACCCTGACCCCCGGCGACTCGAGCTTCAGCAACGCCTCCCAGGGGTCGAGCGGCTCCGCCGAACAAGAACGGCAGCGCGATCCAAGGAGAGATCGTCCTTTCTCTTCAGTGCCCATGTGCAAAGCCAAGGGGGGCAGCGCATTGAAAACACTGGGCTTTTGAAAGAAGATATATAGAAAAGTGAACCTCCTCAAACCGATGTATTAAAATGGGAATCCAAACTTAACTAAGATATCTAGATCTATATCCAGAAATCTGAAACATGATGAAACCATAGTAGACGTCTTGTGATGTCTTTTTCTATGGGCCGTTCCACCTTGCCCCTGGCCTGCTGCACCTCCTGCGCCTTGACACCTGCCTTCGGCACAATCCGGGCAGTCCTCGGAGATGCCGGAGACCGCGAATCGGGTCCAAGGACGGGATCAACGGACCAACGTCTGTCTTCCAACCCCCCAAATGAACATCAGGAGCCCTTTCCTTAACAAAACGTAGTAATCGCATCCTAGGTCCTAGGATGTCCTAGGTAGCATAGTAGCATACCTATATAGATATGCCTGGCACTGGTACGGGTTAGGCTGCCCCAGCCTCTCGTCCAGGCGGCCGAATTCTCTCTGAACCTCTGCCACCGGCCCTTGCAGCCGTTCGCTGAGCTCCCGCGCAAGAAGTGCGTGATGAAGGATCTGGTCTCAGAGGCGTGAGCGACACGCACAAAGCTTCGCACCGTTTGGGTTCACACGCACCCGTGGAACGGGCTCCGAGGGATCTCCGTTTCGTGACCAACCACCTGCTTTGGTATGCGGAACATGGTCATGCTTTAGGTGCTGATGCATCCACTTTCATGATCTTCCAAGATGATTCCAGTGTTGTCGTCTTGAAATATTTTTGATATACTATACCACAATCCTCCACCACAAACCATGGGAGCAGGAGGCAACGAAAGAACAGGTGCCCGAAGTGTTCAAAAAATCCCATCCATTACTGAAGACAAACTGCTGGGAATATGATATAGGTGACCTCACACACCCGGAGATCTATGTGTATATGGTATGTATAACACAATGACAAGAAGTCCAAATGCCCAAACACCTTCCACGCGTGGCATTGCCGGTGACACTTTTACAACAAGTCCACGGGCTGCGGGTTTTCTGTTCCCACTTTGGTGCTTTTTGTTCCCGAGGTGTTTCCTTTCCCGCTTTGGTGTTTTCTGTTCCCGCAAGTGTTTTGTACTGCTACCGCTTTCCAATTTTAAAGTTCCCGGAAAAAGTTTTCTGTGTCCAGCAGTGTTTTCCGTTCCCGTACAGGTGTTTTCTGTTCCCGCCGTGTTTGCGGCACAAAACGGCTGTGATTTGCGTGGGAATTGTCTTCTCCAGGGGGTCGGATGCACGCCCCGGTGCTGGCTGGGGCTGCTGCGTCTCCACCGCTGTGCCGCTGTGATCTGCGTGGGAATTGTCTTCTGCAGGGGGTCAGATGTACGGGCTGGGGCTGCTCGGTGTGCCGCTGTGATTTGCGTGGGAATTGTCTTCTCCAGGGGGTCGGATGCCACCAACCAATTGTCATGAACTAATTGTCGCCAACCAATTGCCACCAACTCATTGTCGCCAACCAATTGTCATCAATTGTCAGCAACCAATTCTCACCAACCAATTGTCACCAACAAAGCGTCACCAACAAATTGCCACCAACAGATTGTCACCAACCAATTGCCACCAACTAATTGTCACCAACCAATTGTCAGCAACAAATTTCCACCAACCAACTGTCACCAACCTTTTGTCATAAACCAATTGTCTTCTCCAGCGGGTCGGGCCCGGCGCTGGCTGGCGCTGGCTGGTGCTGGCCGGCGCTGGTGGGTCTCTGCCCTTCTGAAAGGGTTATAGGACTGGTTTTTAAAACATGGTCCTCAACAAACTGTCATCAATCAATTGTCACGCCAACCAATTGCCACCCACCTACGCAGACATTCTCTCTTGCTAAGTTGCTAACATGTGGGGTTATCGGGTCCTATAATTTTTCACACGGATATTTCTTGCTAAAAGACACTGGAACCATAAAGTGGCGAATAATTTGAAGGAGATTATAAGAATGTAAAGTGGTGGTGCTATATTATTTGGTTTCTGGGCGATTCGTGGTCAAGATTATTCTAAGATGAACAGATGGTGATAATAAATGACCAATCATGGAAACGAAAATAATATAAGATAGAAAAATGATGGTGGGATTGATTGGTTGGTTTGTATTTGTTCTGATGAGCCATAATATAAAAGCATGAAAATATCTTAATTGGTTTGATGTTTTGGGTGCGTTAATAGATTTTGAAAATACAAGAACTAATTTGTAGCAGCGATGAAGCGTCCAGGATATGAAAATAGAATGACTACATTCCCGCACGCGCGCCTCCGGCCAAAAAGGTGTTGGCAGGGCCTTGCCAGGAAACAACTATGCAGTTGTCCGGCAAGGCCAGGCCTTCTGGAGGGTCCACGGCTGTCCAAACACAGGCGTCGCTGGCGCTTCGTGTGGAGCAGCGCCACACAGTGCACTCGCCTGTTTCTCCTGTGTGGACCTTTCCACCGCTGACGACCTGGGAAGCGCTTTTGAAGGGTTGAGCAACGAACAAAAGTGCATGCACAAACAAAGTGTTCTTACGCTTTCTCTCTCTCTCTCTCTTTCTCTCTCTCTCTCTCTCTCTCTCTCTCTTTCTGTCCCTCTTCCTCTTTATCAACGCCTAGGGGCAACACAGGTCTCTGGTGCGAGCAGCCCGGTTGGGTCGCTGATTGTCGTGAGGGTGAAAGACCGAACCGGCAACCTGAGCCTAGGCTTCTTCTGGAGGGCTTTGTAGGCCCCCCAGGCCTGAGCTGACCCCCGGCACAAAGCCTCCTTCGTGCCGCGCATCCCGGTGCGGGTCTTTCTCCTCTGCCGTTTGCTGCAATGCAGCAAGTGGAGTGGCATCGGAGAAATGCCCGACCTGCACCTGAATGTGGTCTTGCGGCACCCTTTTGTGAGCCCAGAATTTGTCCCCTGGCGAGCACCATGCGTATGTGTGCGAGTCGCGATGCCTTTGGCGTGTTATATTATAGTCTGAGCGCTGCAATGTCTTGGTTCCGGGCCGACATGTCCTGTTCTGTGGAGCGCTGGTTGGCCGGCGTGGCGCTGGAGAGCCTGAGCCAAGCGAGAAGCAAGCGAATATCACGTCACATCAACCCAGATTTGTCACACCAAGGCGCTGGGAGGCACATCCTGCAGCATATACACCTCCTCTTCTTTGGCAAGAGCTGCGTAGTAGTCCAGCCAGCTATGATCTGCGACCTCTTTACGCTCAGAATTTCTTGAAATGTTGGCCAAGCTGTTGCGCAACACATTCGTCCGGTACCAGTCTTCGTACCGGCGCCGCTTCTGTCTCCTTGATATAGGGCGGAGACTGGTGCTTTCTGTTCCCGCACGGTTCGGGCGAGGTTGCGAGTATGTTCGTTCGACGACGATCAGTACCAGTAGCACTGCGACTAGTGGTACTACGAGATACTACGAGTAGTAGGAGCAGTTCTGATGACGACTAGTGCTATTTACTACGACTACTGCAACTACTCCTACGACGACAACCACGGCAAGAACAAGTAGTACTACTATTACTATGACTACTACGGCTGCTACTGTAGAGTACTGCTGCTACTACTACTACCACCACCACCACTACTACTACTACTACGACTGCGCGGGTGCGACCCCTGCTGCTACTACTACGACGACGACTCCTACTACTACTACTACTACTGCTACTACTACTGCTACTACTACTACTACTAGTACTACTACTAATAGTACTACTACTACTACTACTTACTACTACTACTACGACTACTACTACTCCTACTCCTACTCCTACTCCTACTACTACTACTACTACTACTAATAGTACTACTACTACTACTACTACTACTACTACGACTACTACTACGACTACTACTACCACTACTACAATACTACTACAAGACTACTACAACACTACTACTACGACTACCACTACGACTACCACTACGACTACCACTACCACTACCACTACTACTACTACGACGACGACGACCACTACTACTACGACTACTACGACTACGACTACGACTACGACTACTACTGCTACTACGACGACTACTACTACTTTACCAGTACTACCAGTACTGCTACTACTGTACTAGTGCTACGACTATTGCTACTAGTACTCGAGCAGTTGCGCATGCAAGGCCTGAGCATCATCAGAGAACACCCGGAGCAAGAGCCCCAAGAGCAAAAGCCTGAAGCCTGAAGAGCCACAGAGCAAGAGCAAAAGCCTGAAAAAAGCGACGCCACTTCTGTTCATCAGTATTGAAGAAACCGTGCAGAAAATCGACGAAGCCACTGGGAAGAGACCCTATATGTCAGGCAAGGCTGGCATAGATTAAAAGATTCAATCTAGAACAGCCACTACTGCTGCAGCAACAACAACAAGAAGAATAACAACAATATACGACAACTACAACTAACACTACCACTATACACACCACGACTACCACTACTACGACTACTACAACCACTCCACTACGACTACGACGGCTATACCACGGCTGCCACTTAGCCGAGCTTGTGCCACACACTCTACCCTCATGTACCAACACGTGCCCTCACACCACAAAATTTACTCCAGCTGCAATGTTTCCCCATACCCTTCCATACCATTCCCAGACGCGTGTCTTTGCGTGGAGCGTGCTCTTTGTGTGGAACTGTTTGGCCGGGCGAAGTCACACCGACATATCTCCTCAATTGCGCTGTCCTTCAAGAGGTTGCGGGTGCAGCAGCTGCAGCTTTTCTCTACTCACGCGACCTTTGTGTTTCATTGCTGGCCATATCAACGCACCGCCAACAACCAACGGGCACGCAGGATCACAGAATTGCCGGGAACACCTTGACGGCGTTGCCGGGAACAAAAAACACCTTGGCGGCCACAAAAAACACCCCACTAGCGGCAACAGAAAACACCTGCGGGCATAGAAAACACCATTCCGGGAAAGGGAAACACCACGGGAACAAAACACACCAAAATGGGAACAAAAAACACTATACCCCAAGTCCACTGCAGAGGCTTACTGCAGAGGCTTCATCCACCAAGCCTGAGAACTGCACTCGGACCTAGGCGTTGTCCAATCTGCAAGAATGTGCCACCAACATGGCCAAGTGCCACAACAGTTACGTCGTTATTCCTGGGTCTTGATCCACATCACATCCAAAACAACCAAAACCGCCCCCCAAACCACTCAAAGGGACAAATAAAAACCAACCATTAAACTTGAGCGAGAAGAAAGAACATCATCCCCCACCACCTGAATTAACTCGAGAAGCTGTGGTGATGTCCTGTTCCAGTGACGCCAGCATCTGCAGCCGTTTCCGGTGCTTGCGGCATGTGGATCTGTCATCACTCCACTGTGAACCCAACCATAAATATTAGCCGGAAAACCAAGCGTGGCCAGGCACTGTGCTTGGGAAAATGCTACCATTGCCAATCACTGAGGCTGTTTGAATTTTTCTCTTTTGGCCACGCCTTCACAAAAGACGGTCAGAGGGGCACAGTTCATCATTCTCTTGGGGGTTTTGTTACCTATCTGGCCGATGGAGCAACTTCAGACAAAGACCCAGCAAATCTGTGATTCCGTATGGCCATATTTTTCACCATGTGGCGGGAAGAGGGGCCTCAAAGCGGATAGCTGCTTGGATGACTCGAGTATAATAGAATGCTTGGTGAAAGTTGCACCCCTTAATTTAAAAGCTTGGAAAGAGGCTCCTCGGCACCCATGTGGCATGCCACTGCTATGTTGGTTGGGTCGTCGGCTGCGGAACGAGCCACGAGCCTGTCTGTGCCCAAATGAGTCCTAAAAGCCTGATCTCACAAAGAGTCTCTATAGACTTATACACCTTGGGGGTGATTGGAGCCCAAAATACCCCCCAAACTCGGCCAAATTCCCCAACACATCAGGGTTTCCCCATCAATATGACCAGGCATCCCTGGCTGCGACGAACCCGCCTCCATGGTCTCCGAACGGCTGGAGGAGAAATTCCGAACCTCCCCCTGGCGATTGCGGGACGCCCCGTCCGTGCCCAATCCTGGAGGTTAAACCAACAGCTATGCATTACCCTCAGTCTGAGCACGAATCCCAACCTCTTCCCAAATCATCCACGTTCCATCCGAACATGATCGAGTTCACTCTTGGCACGGGAGCGCCATGATGTGCAAAACAAACATCCTGAACTTTGTTGAATATCTAAATGTTACATGTACCACACCCCCGACAATTCACGCCGTGGAATTCTGAAGATGTTCCGAAGGGGCCCCGTCGTGGTGAAATGGAGGTCCATGATGTCCGTGGTTTCATCTGCAGGAGGGTACATGATCATCTTGGAAAGTCCAAGTTTGATCCCCCCAGCTGGACAAGAATGCCTGTTCCACGTGGTCGAGTCTTGGGGGCCTAGTGAGCTTTGGAAGGATATCCCTACCTTTTCCGACAGTACCAGCGGCAAATTTCAAACTCAGCTTGTGTTTTCCCTATCCACTGGGAACTTTTGGACTCTTCAAAAGTTCTTCTTGCATTTTCATGCATTTTCCCTATCCGCACTTGACTTTCTCCAAATCTATCCAATGACTGTTTACCAGTGAGTGACTCCTTGAGTGAACCCTCCAGGCCCGAAATGATTTGGTCCTGTACCCCGTGAAAAACTGCACCAAATCACAAAAAGTTGGGTGCAACCTCCGGCCACACACTACTGCCAGGCACCTCTACTCATATCCTACTTCACCTCCATGCTCCCACTATGGCATCCCACCGGCAGCTGCGTGCTTCCTTCTCGTCTCTCCCCAACATAAACCAACCCAACTATCCGGGAGCCTTCCGGCTTCCCTCAGCGGCTTCCTGGAGCGCCCACAGGGGCGGGTCGAGAAGGCCTTCTCGTCCTCGGGGCGGCTCGGCTGCTCAGGAGGACACCAGTCCTCTGGCAAGCTCCGGAGCTCCTCAAGCCGCGGGTTCGGGTGGGTCTTCCAGGACCCGGAACATAGCAGTCTTAAGAGGTGAATGGCCTCAAACCACCGGACTTGGAAGGTCCTGGTAGAAGTCATGGTTTCACAGTTTTATCCTCAAACCACATCAGTAGCTACAGACCGGACCACCTCTTCGCTGGAACTCGTCTACCTTCAGCATATCCAGGGACTCGTTCAATTCCTGTATCATGGTTTTGTTCAGGTGTGGGTCATAGGACCATAGGATCCCTGGGACGATATCAACACATATCAACATATCAATGACCTACCAATCGATCGACAGAAACCTCCCAAACCAGATTCCTTTTGTACCGCTTTGTTGTTTCGTCGCCAGTTCTGCCGTTGCAAGCGGCATTGCAGGGACGGTCCGGTCCGGTCTAGGACCCCATGGCATTGGAAAGAGGCTCTGGTCGTCACTTTGGTGTCCTCCAAGGTCGCCCCCTTTTGGTCCTCGTTCATCCTCATTCACTGCTGGGCAGCCCGGACGACGCCACTGGCTTTCAGGGAGGCCTGCACGTGCTTGGCCACGTGCGGAGCGTGCGGAGCGTGCGGAGCGTGCGGAGCGTGCGGAGCG